GTTGAGGCTGGGGCTGAGGCTGGGGTTGAGCCTGGGGCTGGGGCTGAGGCTGGTGCTGAGGCTGGAGTTGAGGCTGGGGCTGGGGCTGGGGCTGAGGCTGAGACTGAGGCTGAGGCTGGTGCTGAGGCTGGAGTTTAGGCTGGGCCTGGGGCTGGAGTTGAGGCTGGGGCTGGGGCTGGAGTTGAGGCTGAGGCTGAGGCTGAGGCTGGTGCTGAGGCTGGAGTTGAGGCTGGGGCTGAGGCTGGTGCTGAGGCTGGAGTTGAGGCTGGGACTGGGACTGGGCTGGGGCTGAGGCTGGGGCTCAGTTGCAGAGTGCTTGCCTAGCATGCTTGAGGTACTGGTTCAATCCTCAGCCCCACATATAAAAATAATATTCTTTTCTTTGGTCAGTCAGAACTGTTGTCCGAGAAAGTAGTTTGGGCTGATGTTTTTAGTAGCAAAGCCTCAGCTTTTCAAGTCTGATCCATGATTTTGGGGTATCCCGCTGTCCACCGGCCGTTGTTGCTGGACTGGCTTCTATCAGTGAAGCGATCCCCGTCTGGCCCAGTGTCAAGCAAATCCAACTTGCTGAAGCCCCCAGCTCTCTGAGCAGGTTCTGGTCTCTTATCCCATGCTGGCATCGGGTCGCTTGATGTGAGGCAGACCTGGTTTCTCTCTGTTGACATTTGGATAGCCTGGACTCTCCCTGCCCTCCCTGTGGCCAGCTGACATCTGTCCTTCTGGTGATGAGGACCAGCACTTGATGAGGAAGTTAATCTGTTGACCTGAGTGTGTTTCTCAACCATATAGTAAGTAACTCACAAGTGGCAGCCACCTCCCAGAGGCAGGAGTGCGTGGTTAAGTCTTTTGACAATTAGGCTACTTGTCACAGTATGTCTCCAGTGTTTGTAGGGGAACTTGAAGGGCTGTGCCTTCCTTAGACACCTTGGTGTGAGCCCCAAGTTCCAGGGCGGATGCTGTGTGAGGCTTCCTAACTTCTCTGAGACAGCTTGGCGATCTGGGGTACAAGTAAATTATGTCACATCTGTTCATTTTCAGGCTGCAGATGGGCATTTAGCTATCTGTCCAAAATTAGGGACCCCAAAATGGCAGAAGCATGACATTTCTAGGGGCCCACGTGACATTCCGTTGTTCCTGACTTCTTTAAGGCTCTTGACCTTCTGCTTTTGATAATGATTTCAAAATTCATGCTCATTGGATAATCAGGAATCCCACATGGGGGACTTTATTTATTTATTTATTTATTTAACAAACCTGAGCTTTTTTTTAAAAAAAAATTATTTTAATGTTTTATACATGACAGCAGAGTGCGTTACGATTCATAGAACACATACAGAGCACAAATTTTCCTATCTCTTATGTACACAAAGAATATTCCTACCACTCGCGTCTTCATACGTGTACTTAGGGTATGATGTCCACCTCATTCCACCATCTTTTACAAACCAGAGCCTTCTTACGGGACACCTGGTGTCCACTTGAGGCCAGGGGTTTTACTGCAGGAGTAATGAGAGCATTCTTGGTTCTTGGCTGTGAGCCGTCATTTACATATTGCAAAATGGTTCCTTTGTTCAGTCATAACTCCCACAGTTATCCCTTTTGCTAGCCTGTCATTAACCAAAGTAAAAAAAAAAAAAAAAAAAAAAATTGAAGTCCCTGTTTGGTTAGCAGATATTCGGATCTGACAACTGATGGGAAAAACCTGTTCAGTTAATTGTTTCTGAAGGAAACAGAATGGGAGTTTGCAGTTTATAGGGAGTTGATGAAAATTACAGTCAGTACCTTGGGCCTTGTAACCTGCATCCCAATTGGGTGAAATGCTGCAATTTTGAGCCCAAAACTTACAACATCTCTACAAGCCAGTGGCAAAATGGAATTATTGGATGACTCATTGTTAGGGAATTGGCTGGTGTTGGCAAATTCACATGCTTGTTATTACAAGTGGTGGTGGGGGGTGGAGAAGAGAGAGAGATGAGCGGTCAGTACCTTAAAGTAGGTGTAGCTATGTGTTTGTTCACTGGTGAGAATTGTGACCCTGGGAGAGGAAGAATGTCACATTGGGTAAAAGGAATCCAGGGAGTGGGGACCTCACAGATTTTTTTTTTTTTCCTGAGCTGCTCAGAACTTTCTTCTGACTGTTTAGGAATTAACCACGGGGAACTCTGGCTTCACAGTGAGAGGACTCCCCAAGTTGGGCATGTATTTATTTGTTGAGAGCCACAGTTTAGTCGGAATGACGCCTGGCATTTTGCTAGAGGGAATGGTTGAAAGGTGACCCTGCTCCGGGAGCAGAGCCGGGTGGAGGGAGTGTATTCCCGGAAAGTGTGCGTAGAGTGCCCAGGAGAGTTCAGGAATAAAGAGTTGCTGTTTGAACCTACAAGGCTTTGTGGCGACTCGGTTATTTTGTGCCCAGCCAGACTGCGGCATTTATTCTCACCAGATTCCTTGTGGACTACGAATCCAACAGGCTACTCACTGGAATTTGTTTTTCTAGTGTCTTGTAAAATCTTGGTGCCATCTAATTCCAGTTTGCCCAAGTACTTAAAGTTTTAAGTTTATATGATGTGATTTCTTTCCTAAGCAAATCTAGGCTGCAACAGTGAGTTCACATAGGATGCTAAAGGTCAACCCCAGACGGACACAACTGTGTTTTCTGAAACCTGTGGACTTGGTACTTCCTGTGGGACATCCTGTTTCCCAAACAGGACTCAGTTCCGAAGTTCAGTGTTCAAAAAGATCTCTGTTCATCCCAAACAAACCCTCAAACTCTCCTCCCCCTCCCAACCCAAACCCAACAACTAATTATCCAGCTAATCTTTCCCAAGTAGATTTTTACGACTACACTTTTAATTTTTTTTTTCAAAGCGTACCACACATACCATGTCAGGCTTACTGTTGACCATGCCACCAAATCTTTGAGGCCAAACAAAGAAAATGTCTCCAATCAACATCAAATAAGAGCCGCTCTCTGGTGGGGTGAGTGGTGGTGGTGGTGGTGGATGACCCAGAATGCCCAGACCCTTCCTGCGACTGACCCTGAGAAAGGGAATCCATACAAGGTCTGAGCTGGCATTGGGACGAAGGTGATGCTTGGTGGGAGCAGCTGCCTCTGGGTGAGAGCAGGGACCCTCAGAAGCCGTGAGATGCAGATCATGCCATGGCAGAAGAGTCCTCGGGCTCCATCCCAGCCTCTGGAGATGTGAACCGAAAAGTACTGATTCCAGGGAATGAACTTGAGTTATTCTCATAGAAGAAACTGGAGTTCTTTGTTGCAACACAAGCTTCTGTGAACCATGCTTCTTGCCACCAAAATGAACCATGCAACGAATCTGTGGATTCTGTTGTCCTAAAAAATGGAAGAAAAGGGCTGGGGGCCGGGGCTCGGTGGTAGAGCACTTCTCGCCTTGCATGTGGGAGGCACTGGGTTTGGTTCTCAGCGATGCATGTAAATAAATAAATAAATAAATAAAATAAAGGTACATCAACAACTAAAAAATATATTTAAAAAAAAAAATGAAAGACAAGCCAACAGGAAACACCAATCAGTCTGTTGAAGCATCTGGGGTGCCGTGCTGGGAGTAGATCATGGCGAGTTCCCATCTCTTTTACCTTCGTACTTGTTTTGGAGGGTGCCATCAACTTTCTTGAGATGCCCTTTATATGGGAAAATCATTTCACCCAGGTCACCTCGGGGGCTGTTTTTGAAACTTCATTGAGCAAATGTCTGCCTTCTGACATCTTCAGAGGAATGAATTGTCCATAGACCATCAGCCCCCTACTCACTCTTCCCAGAGGATAGATAAATGATGAGAGCGGGAATTTGGGAAAAGTTGGTTATTTGGAGGCTTAGCCAAATCTCCCATTATCCATTTGGTCTACACACGTAACCTCTTGGGACATGAATATGTGCCGCAGTCTGGCTGGGCACAGAATAACTGGGAGGTCACGAGCCACTTGTAGGTTCAAACAGGAACGACTTTATTGCCCAAACCCCACGGGAACTCTCTAGAACTCTCCGGAAACTCCGCGAGAACCAACGAGAACTCAAAAATAGCGGGCCCCTGAGGTAGCAGGAGCCGCCTTATTGCTGGACAGCAGAGGTTTATATACACAACTGAATACACAGCTTGCCCCAATCTAGCATCATCCAGTTATAGCAATCAGTCACCATCCCAATAATTATACACAGCTTAACTTAGTCACCATCGTCCCAGTGGCTCGCTGGCGTCACTTCTCAACCACTCCTTCTGGCAAAATGCCAGGCGCCATCCTGACTTGGCTGTGGCTCTCAACAAATATGTCCCCCATGGTCTCCATCTCACAGAGACAGATACTTGGTGGCTCACAAATTGGGTACTGGTGCTGAGAGGGAAATGCAGAGTCAATTCTTGTCCCTGGATTTCCTTCAAGGAAAACCCACAGCTGTGAGGGTGGACCAGAGTCCACAGTGTCCTTCAGTAAGTCAAACTAGGGGTGGGAGAATGTCCATGGTGCCGAGGTATCTTGACTTTCCCCTTGGGATTTGTGTGTCTGTTACACAGGTCACACTGCTGTTCCATAGGTGTGTCACCTTGAGAACACTTGTTTACCTAAGTGCTAATGTCATGGGGCAGATGGCTCAGAAAACATACCAAGTCCATTTTGCCCCAATTGGTGAGTCTTTAGCTGGCCAACCAGCCACTGCTCTTCGCAGGACCCATAACTGTCTCTGCAAGGTGTTCCTGAGCCTCTCAGGGACTTTAAAGGCAAAAGCCACATCCAGGTTGAGGGGTACAGAAGCTGATTGGGCGGTCAGCGAGACAATGCAACGGATACATTGGTATTTCCCACAGGACTTTCCAGGTTGTCATAGCAACAAGCAAGCAATGACCCTCGTTGAGCACAAGTTATTAGAGAATGGTTACTAACAACATCTAGACAGTCTCTGACAAGGTACATTGCCCAAGAAACATGGGAACCAAAGAGAACAATTTTACACTCTTTTAAGAATTGTCATCTTTCGTTGCCAAACGTGCTGTGCTCAGCAACTCCTGATAGGCACAGATGCGGGTGTCCCCATGGGAGAAGCATTTCTCACAAGTTTGTTGGGTCCTTGCCCATATAGCCTGTCCCAAAACATTAAATGTATTTTCTTAGTAGGATTTCAAACCTAAGAAAATATGCACAAAGCAACCAGATTCGTGGGGAGGAGGTGGAAGGTGGCCTTACATTACAGGACTTAAATGTTGCTACTTGCTACTTTAATGGAAATAAAAATTCCCTTAAAATAGCTGAACTCAAATTCATCAATAAGTTTTTCCGTCAGTGTCCAGTCGTTTCTCTTGTACCACTGTCCTCGAGTCCCTAGAGAGCTTGCCACATGTTTCGAAAATCAGGTGCCATCCCAGAACTACCAAGTCTATGTTTTAGTAATATCTCTCAGTTTGTGGTCGCAGAATTAAAATTCGAGAAGCATCCTTCTTACCATTCCTTTTTCATCTGATAAACATACAAATGTCTCTTATAAAACACAAAATGAATGAAGATGGATGCTCTTGGGTGGATGCCTTAATTTCACATTTTATCAAGTGCAGCAGCTGCCACCCCTTTTGGAAATATGTCGCTCTCCTTCGGTTGGATAATAGACTGTTTTATAAAAGCGACTCACTGAATAATGAAGTCACCTATCTATATGAGAGTCACTTCTACTGTCCTTTCTGCTTCCCTCCCACTATAAGCTGTGTCAACGATCACGTGGTCAGCGTGCTGTTTATTTGCCCTGTTCTTATTTCAGGAATATTTGACGTTCAGGGATGTGGCCATTGACTTCTCTGAAGAGGAGTGGGAGTGTCTGCAGCCTGCTCAGCGGACCTTATACCAAGATGTGATGTCTGAGAACTACCACAACCTGGTCTTCCTAGGTGAGGCTTCAGGATTTCTAGTTATCAGTATCTAATTTCCTTCCTTTGCAGAATAGTTATGGAGGAGCTTTTGCTCTGTATGAATGAGTTTAAGATTCTCGCTTTCAAGAAAGACATTTGGACAGCTTGTGGTTTGTAATGTCAATGACATCTCCACTAATCTTTCCTCTCTCCCTTTCTTCAGATGATCTAGATCCTTCATTTTAGATTACTGGTATATGTAGTGACAGTGACACAAGGTGTCATGGTCTACATGTCACAGTCCAATTTCTTCCCTTTGATTTGATTCCTTTACTCTGATACTTGGAAATAGATCTCAGGATCTGTACATTAAAATTTCTTCCTAAAAATTGTAATGGGTTTGTTTGCAAAAATATATTTTTTAGAATTTCTATTACATATAATATTATATATATATTATTTACTATATATAAATCATATATTATATATGTCATATATGTTACATATCGTATAGATATTATAAATAGTACGTGTTATAGTTACATATAAATTATGTTTATGACTTATAAATATATATTAGTTACATATGGTAAGTAGAAATGCTAGAAAAATATTGTCCAGATGTTACATATGGTAAGTAGAAATGCTAGAAAATTATTTTCCAGATATATGATATATACATATGTATATATGTGTGCTGCAGTCTGGCTGGGCACAATTCACGAGCCACTTATCAAGCAGAAACAAACTTTATTTTTAGAACACACGCTGCACAGGAGCTCTTCAGGAATTCCCTCAGAGCCCAACTGCCACCATCGGTTTCCCACAAGCCTCTCAACCCCCCCCACTCCTCCTGCTCTTGAGGCTGATTGGCTGGGTCACGTGGGCGGAGCCAAAAAAAGTCCCCCAATGAGCAGCTCTGTGGTCTGAAAGGGCGGGGAAACAGCCCAATGAGCATCACCGCAGAGGAGCCAATCAGCTGGCAGCTGGAAGTTTGCTGGGGCTGCTGTGAGCCAATCATCAGCTGGCAGCTGAAAGTTTTCTGGGGCCCCTTTGACTGTGGCTCTCAACATATGTGTGTGTGTGTGTATCTGCACAGTTCTAGAATATAAACATCAGTAGGTATAAGAATTCCAACAGATAGTCATTATTTTATTTTTCAATCACTAAATCTTAATGTCGCTAAGCCAAAACGGAACACCTTTCTCAGGAGCAAAGGAAGGAGCCCTGGATTTGCGGAGACAAGGAGGAGTAGCCATATATACCCACGTGGTTGGAAATGGAGGAGACGGAGGACTCAGTTGGGGGTTGCATAGGTTGAGGAGGAAGTCAGATTTGAAACTGTTGGTTGAGAAGTAAGCATGCAACAGAAATGATTTTCCAGAAGCTTAGGTTGATTTTTCTTTCTATCATAGGACACATACAGCTGTATGTTTATCATGCTTTCAAATTCTTAACATCTGTCCCTTCAGTGGTGTTCTCCTACTTTCAAGTTAGCAGCCAAAACACTTCTCTTTGGTTGTGATGGTCAGCATATGACAGCTTTTCCATTACCTGGGGGTCTCTAGGGAATGTGCACGTTTCTGAAGACGTCTAGCCAAGCCGTTGTAGTATATTAATATCCCAAAGCTGTTTCTGTCATATGATCTCTGTGTTTATTCATTAAAATTTCCTTACCAGAGTTCTTTATGAATTCTTAGGATGGATTTTCTGTGAATTTGTTCTGCCATGAGATGAATATCAGTGATTGATAATGGCTGATCTTTGAGGATACAAAGTCACAGGTGGAAATTGTGGTTACGTAAAAGGGTGTGTAAAATCATGCATCTGTGGTTATTCAGAATTTTTTGTGGTTAATTTCACTTTTCCTTTTTTGTTTCTTGTGTTTTATAGAGGACGTTTTCTCACATCCGTTAATAACATTTTTGTCTTTCACCTGCATTTTATAATTAGGTGGCAGTTTCCATTCTTTGACAAATTAGGGCAGTGCAAGTTGAACTTAAGATATGCATTATCCTTGAATATAAAATTATACATGTTTGTATTTGTTTGTATAAAGATTACACTTGGCTTTTTTTTTGGAGGGGTGGGTTGCCTATTTTGTTTTTATTTTGTTTGTTTATTTATTTATTTATAATTCAATCTATGTAGCTACATCCCTAGTTTCTTTTAATTTTTATTTGGAGAGATGTTTTCACTAAGTTGCTGAGGAAGACCTTGAATTTGCAATTCTCCTGCCTCAGAATTCCTGTAGCTGGGATTACAGTCATGCTCGTCATCTGTATGTGGACACATCTGTTATTAAGTTTAGGACAAAGACCATAGCATTTTATTTTTTTAAGCATTTATTTATTTATTTATTTAGTTGTAGGTGGACACAATACCTTTAGTTAATTTTTATGTGGTGCTAGGGTTCGAACTCAGTGCCTCACGCATGCTAGGCGAGCGCTTTTCCTCTGAGCCACAACCCCAGCCCAAGACCATAACATTTTAAAGGTAGCTTTCAAAAATATTGCAATTTTGTTTATTTTTTACATATTGTTTGAATTTTAATGCTCATCAAAATTACACAATATAAAACAATAGTATCTTAAATATTTTGAGTATACTGTTCAGTAATATTAATTCAAGTTGTTATGCAAAATCCCTAGAAAGTTTTTATCTCACAAAGCAAACATACAATTATGAAAACAAGCTCCATGTCTGTCTCTCCCCATCACAAACAGCAATCTCCTTCCTGCTCAGATAATCTCCCAAGTTTAGCTCTCATAAGTAGAATTTTGCAGTATTTATCTTCTTGTTAGTGACTTATTTAAGTTAACAAAGTGTACTTTAGATTTATCTTTATATAGATTTTGCAAAATACCTTACCTTTATTGATTTGAAAAAACATACCTTAGTTCCTAGCCACCAAACCTTCTCATTGGCTCATTTACTTGTGATTCCTTGGGTGCAGCCTCCCATGGCGCTGGGGTTGTGCTGTGAACCACCTCTCCTGACAACCTCACACGCTGTTTCATAAAGAATTCTTCATGTGCACAATATCAGCTTTTTTTTTCCTTTAAAAAATTTTGTTTGATTTTAATTCAGTTTTCTGCATTTTTTTTTTTTAACCAAAATTCTTGAAAAAAGTTAATTAGTGCTCTTTGGTCTTTGGGTCATGCATAACTTTGCTACTATTCAATTTCTAATGTTTGATTTTTGGTCTTTATGTGCTGTGCTGTTTTTTAATTGATTGGTGGGTAGAAAACCAGCCAACAGAAGATTGATATAGTCATTTGGGAAACAGTAAGGAAGTTACTAAATAAATCAAAAAGAGGCCAAACACAGTGTAAACACACTTGCTTGTAAACACAGCTGATGTGCACGTGGATTTCAGGTTTGAGGCATCACAGCAACTTAGTGGCACCACATCTCAAATTGACCAATTTTCAGAAGGCTGGTGTTGAAGCTCTGGTACAGCACCATTGGGCTTAATCCCAAGCACCACATAAAAAAAACCAATAGTAGAAAGATGTGATCCAGAATATGTATCCAAAAGAGATTAGATTAGGATGTTGAAGAGATGTTTCCACGACTGTGTTCAGTGCAAGCATTTTTCACAGTAGTCTAGGCACAGACTCAAACTATGTCCCTATCAGTGGTTGAATAAGTACAAATTTGGCATTGATATACAATCAGTTACTATTTAGCCTTATTTAAAATATGGAATCAATACACAATTAATTTCTCTTCTTACTTATAAAAAGAGATGTCCTGTTATGTAAGGTGATATGGGATGAATATGCAGGACTTTGCATAAAATGAAATAAGGCAAACACAGAAAATTAGTGGCAGCAGCATCTGACTCTCAGTGGGAACTCAGAAATGCAGAGAGTAAAATGGTGGCTACCAGGTACGATATTTTGTGGAATGTAGGGGGACTGTTGGTTGAAGTCTGCAAAATTTTATTTTAATGGACATAAGAAAGTCAAGAGTATCATATGGTGAGCGTAATGTATTGTATTCTGGATAAATGCTAGTAGAATAAATGCAATTTTTTAGCACTAAAATGTTAATTATATGGAATAATGCAAGTGTTATTTCACTAGATTCAATTATTTACTATGTATATGTACTTTGAAATGCCATGATATACTCAGTAAATGTATAAAATTTAATTTGTAAATGAAGTAAATCAGTAAATGACAAAAATTTAAAAACATAGTAAAAGCAAGTCATTTGTCTTGATCTCTGGGAATTGTCTTCATTTAGATAACACTGCCAGAGTGTTATCACGTGTGTATTGTGTGTATTTTTCCCATTAAAAAAATTTGTTTAGGGTCTAGGGCTGTGACTCAGTGGTAGAGCACTTGCCCTTGCACACATGTGGCACTGGGTTTGATCCTCAGCACCATATAAAAATTTAAAAAAAAATCTTTGTTTTGTTTATTTAAGATTGGTTTATATCTCTTCTTAAGAGCCCATAGACTGTATCCCTGTTAAATATCTGTGGTGTTATAATCCAAAATCTATCTCTGACCTCTAGATCTCTGTGTCATGGTAGAGAGAAACTAGTTTTTAGACAGTCCCCAAGAAAATCAAAATGTTCACCTGTATTTCCCATTTCCCATTGTCTACTGACAGAGAAGGGAGTTGGGTAGATTTTTCCTCAGTGCGCAATGCTGTATTGTGGAGGGGAAAAGGCAGAGGTTGAGAAAACCAGCACAGGTTGCTTCCCTATCCTGTATTGCTCTCCTTAGTAACGTACTCATTCTGGATACTGTCAACTCTCAGACGTTTGTGGTAGTTCTCCCAAAGTCATTTTTTCTGTACATTTTTATTTAGTTTTTATATTTCTGGAGAAATGAAGACCTTAGGTTTATTATTCTGCTACCCTGCTGATGGACTAACTTTGCTTTAATTATGTACGATGTTTGCAAAATACATTCATTCCCGTCTCATTGGTAAAATAATTCTTCTTCTCATTTATTTCAGCCATGACCTCTCAACATATCCACCAGTTTTCACCAGAGCACGGCATAAAAGATTTATTTAAAAAAGTGATAAAGAGAAGATACGGAAATTGTGACCTTGACTATTTACAACCAAGAAAATTATGGGAAAATGGGAGTGAGAGTGACGGTCTGAAATCATATTATAATGGTCAAAGCCAATTAGTAGCGACTGTCCATAATAAAAATTTCACTGTCAACGGACATCAAGAACATTTGATATCTCAGAAAAGAATTCAGCTCATGCCTGTTGCTTTTGAGGAGTTGTATGTTTCCAGTGTACTGCCAACCCAATTTTTGAAGCATACAGTTCCTCTGAAAGGAAATTTGGAAAATTTAAGAAGAGATCTTGTCTATGCTTCAGTTTATAACTTGGCCAATTTCAAATATAGTGTTGATTTAAACTTTCAGTCAATGATTTCTCTAGCAAAGAAATATAAAAGTGAAGGACAGATTTCTAAAAAAGAGCACTTTGATCATTCCTTTTCAAAATGTCCATTATTCTGCAATCAAACAATAATTTCTTCTTGTGCCCAAACTTACAATTATAACAATTGTGGGGATATCCACCCTTACCCATTCTTCCTTAATCAAAATTCGGATGTTGATTTCTGGAATGTCTGCTACATAGGCAATGAAACCAGTCACACCCTAGCCCAGGTGTCTAACCTAAGTAATTACCAGTATGTTTATATTGGTGAGAAAAAATATGAAAGTAGTGAAATTCTTAAAAACATGAGCATTGGTTGCAATCCCAGAAATCCTCAGTGTACCCATTTTGCAAAGAGCCTGTACCACAGTGGCAAATGTGAGAAACTCTTTCACCAATCCTCTGGGCTTATGACCCATCCAAGAATTCATAGTGAACAAAGGCCTTACAAACATGAGGAAGGTGGAAGTGTGTTCACTCATCCGGCCAGTCTTAGTCAATATGAGAGAATTCCCATTGGAAGAGAGCCCTGCAGATTCAAAGAGTGTAGCAAACCATGGGATTGCTCCACCCTGTCCACACACCTCAGATACTTTACAAGTGACAACTATGACTACCGAGAAGGTGGCAAAACCTTTAACCCAGAATTACCCCCCGTCAAGCATCAGAGAATTCATGGTATAGAAAAGCTCCCCAAATGGAAAGAATGTGGCAAATCTCTTAGCACTTGCTCTGTCCTTTCTAAGCACCTGAGATGGCACGGCAGTAACAAGACCTTCAGATGCAAAGAGTATGGCAGACCTTTTACTCAAAGATCACATTTTACACAACACCAGGGAATTCATACCGGAGAGAGAGCCCTCGAATGTAACTGTGCCAAAGCCTTCGATAATGCTTCGACCCTATCTCAAAACCAAAGGAATCTCGTGAGGGAGAAGCTCTACAAATGTAAAGCACATGGCAACCTTTTCAGTAAACTCCCCAAACTCAGTCCACATCCGAGTGTTCATACTAGAGGAAAGCCCTACAAATGTGAAGAATGTGGCAAAGCTTTTATCCGAAGGTCCTACCTTACTCAACACCAGAGGGTTCATACTGGAGAGAAGCCCTACACGTGTAAAGAATGTGGCAAGGCTTTCAAACAAAGATCGCACCTTGCTCAACACCAGAGAAGTCACACCGGAGAGAAGCCCTACACCTGTCAGCAATGTGGCAAAGCTTTTAGTCAGAGATCCTACATTACTCGACATGAGAGGGTTCATACGGGAGAGAAGCCCTACAAGTGTAAAGAATGCGGCAAAGCTTTTAATCGGGGATCAAACCTTATTCGACATGAGAGAATCCATACTGGAGAGAAGCCCTACAAGTGTACAGAGTGTAGCAAAACCTTTAAGGATCTTTCATCCCTTACCAAACACCAGATAATCCATACTGGAGAGAAGCCCTACAAATGTAAAGAATGTGGCAAAGCTTTTAATCAAAGATCCTCACTAACTCAACACCAGAGGATTCATACTGGAGAAAAGCCCTACATGTGTGAAAAATGCGGCAAAGCTTTTAATCAGAGATCCACGCTGACCCAACATCAGATCATTCACAGTGTAGAGCAGCCCTACAAATGTGAAGAATGCGGCAAAGCCTTTCCGTATTCTTCCAGCCTTACCAAACACCAGCGGATGCATACGGAAGAGAAGCCCTACCAATGCGAAGAGTGCGGCAAAGCGTTCCCATATTCCTCCAGCCTTTCCCAACACCAGAGAATTCACAGCGAAGAGAAGCCCTACAAATGTGAAGAGTGCGGCAAGACGTTTCCGTATTCTTCCAGCCTTAACAAACACCAGAGGAGTCATACTGGAGAAAAACTCTGCGAATGCGAAGAGTGTGGCAAAGCCTTCCCTTATTCCTCAAGCCTTACCAAACACCACAGGATACACACTGACGAGAAGCCGTGCAGATGTGAAGAGTGTGGCAAAGCTTTTCCGTATCCCTCCAGCCTTACCAAACACCAGATGGTTCACACAGAAGAGAAACCCTACAGATGTGAAGAGTGCGGCAAAGCTTTCCCATATTCTTCCAGCCTTTCCCAACATCAGATGGTTCACACGAAAGAGAAGCCCTACAGATGTGAAGAGTGTGATAAAGCTTTCCCATATTCTTCCAGCCTTACCAAACACCAGCGAGTTCATACTGGAGAAAAGTTCTGCAAATCTGAACATTGTGTTAAAGCACTTGAGGAAGATCCTACCCTTATCCCAAACAAGAGGGACCATAGCAGAGGGAAACTATACAAAGGTGGAAACATGTGACTGTCTTCGACAGTTGTTCCCACCTGACTTAGCACTTGGGAATTCATATTTTGGAGATATGGTGCCAGTGTAAAGGATGCGGCAAAGCTGTTAATAATTGATCAGATGTTACTAGAAACTGGAGAACTCAGAGTGCATGAAACTCTATAAACATTTAAGTAATGTGCCCAAGTCTTTATTCAGATTTTGAAATTCCTTCAGTATCAAAAACTTGATACCTGAGCCAGGCACAGTGTCACACGCCTATAATCCCAGTGACTCAGGAGGCTGAGGTAGGAGGATCGTGAGTTCAAAGCCAGCCTCAGCAACTTAGCGAGACACTTGGAGCTCAATGAGACCTTGCCTCTCAATAAAATATAAGAAAGGGCTGGGGATGGGGCTCAGTGGTTAAGCACCCCTGGGTTCAATCCCCGGTACCAAAAGAAACAAACCTGATACCTGACGTGAATGTGGAAAGAGTCATCGAAAATACATGCCTTAAATAACAACAAAGTATTTGTAATGAAGAAAAACCTTGACAAATGTAAAAAGTTTAGCAATACCCTTATCTCTTCCTCATATCTTGATTTATATGAGAATTGCAAATGGAGCTAAGTCATATAAGTATAGAAAATGGGACATTATCTTTGCATAAAATTTATTTAAAGTTATTAGCTCATGTGTAGAAATTTAAAAATCATCCTAACTATCATAGGATGATGCAGAAAACATAAAAGATATAAATTTGTTATAAGTCAAGATTATTACATATCCACATTGTTTTTTAAACCTGGGAGAACATAATTCCCACAGATTTCACAGGAACAAGAAAACTTGTTTCTGAGAGATTTCTCTTTTTTAAGAAAAATTTTAAGTTGTAGATGGACATAACACCTTTATTTTGTTTATTTACTTTTATGTGGTGCTGAGGATCGAATCCAGTGTGTCACACATGCTGGGCAAGTGCTCTACTGCTGAGCTATAGCCCCAGCCCCAGAGATTTTAATCTGTTGTGTTGTTGTTGTTGTTATTGTTGTTGAAACTATGATATGGACTTTGAAATACTTTGTTCACATTATATATGCTTTTTTTTTTTTTACCAAATAAAAGTATTAATGTGCTAACAGTGTTCTGTATGGAATCATCATGTCACAGATATCAAACTATTCTACTTTATTAAATGTTCTTAGTAACAGGTAGTAAAAGCACACTATTGGGTAAATAGTGGCATAACATCTCTATTAATTATTATTCAATTTACTTGGAGAATATTATTCCTATGAGTCATATCATTGTTCATTTTTTTTTCTGCTTATAATTATTGGAGAAATAAAGACAGGTGTAGATAAGATAAGGGCATATGAAAGTAAGCCCCAGATTTCTGTATCTTGAGTAACAAATTTTTCAGTTTTCATCCTGCAATTCTGGAGAGTCACACAACCTCCCAAACAGGGTAATTATTTTAAAGACCTCAAAGGCAGAGAGCATCTGGCACCTATTCAGGGAAAAGGAGGGTCATTGGGGAGAAATACTCCCAATATTTTCAAGATAAAATGTGGTCAGTTACATGTTGATCCTTCCTGGCTCTTGACGCTTCATGTACGGAAACATTCTGAAAGAGTCAGGCAATCCCTAAACGTAACCCCTGAGGATACTTGACTGACTTCAAAGAATGTAGGAAAATATTTTCCCCCAGTATTGACTTTCTATTTATTCTTGAATCCCTAGCAGGGAAATATAGCCAGGAATGTGCACAATAACGTGGATAAGAAAGAGACATGCCCATGGAGCACTTAAATCTCCCACACCAATTACTTAAGAGTCTCATGCTCTATCTACTGAGCTAGCTGGGCACCTCACAATTTACTTAATTAAATATCTTTGTACTTTTCCTACCTCTTTTATTGTACTTTATAATATATAATGGTAATTATGCCCTTGGGATGGCAGGGTAGACAGTACATAGCATAGACCCCAAACTTCTCTATGATAGACCGTTTACAAGATACTATAAACTAAATCTGTCCCTTTTTTGGTCTTACAGGGACAGGATGTGGAGAAAAACATTGGGCTCCATTGCCAAAAAACAGACAGGGGGGCCCCATGTTCCGGGGCCCACTACCACAAATATACAGGGGACTGGAGGAACCCAGCAACACCATCAGGGCAGTGCCCAGGACACATTATCCATTAGATCCCTCACTAGACAAACCAGAGGGAGTGCAGGATTGGACATCTGCGCCTCTGCCAGAGCAGTACTAACTCCAGCGATGGGAGTTCAAATCATTCCCACAGGAGTAAAAGGACCTCTTCCCCAAGGAACAGTAGGCTTATTTTGGGACACAGTTCTTCTACTCTAAAAGGACTTATGATAAGTCCTGGGGTAATTGATCCCGATTATGAAGGTGAAATAAAAATCATAGCTAGTTCTCCAAAGGGTATATATCAGTAATTTCACCAGGAGATAGAATAGCACAGTTACTAATAATACCCAGCCTACATGATAAATTTTCCTGTCCTGTACTATAGAAAGAGGTTCCAGGGGATTAGGCTCCACAGGTGTAGATTGGGCTATACTTTCTTTAAATTTAGATTCTCGTCCAATGCTAAAACTAAATATTCAAGGACATGAATTTAATGGGCTACTGGATACAGGTGCAGACCTTAGCATTATCTTGTCAAGAATGGCCAAAACATTGGCTGTTACAACAAGCCACTCAAAAGCTTCGAGGCCTAGGAGTGGCAACTAATCCCCGATTGAGCAGGTCCCATAATAATCATCTCATTATTAATGGCTCTTAAATTTTACAATAATCTCCTTTTACTAGATTTCTTTTTGATGACAAAAATGGGAGTATTTTGGGGAGATATGGAAGGTTGTATATGTCCCTCCACTAATTGTTGTTTGACCAGGTCATGGGCTGCTTGGATCTTTTCTTTAGTCAGGGGCCACTGAGGAACCTTTCTGATTTCCAGGTGATTTTTATTGTCTCAGTGACTCCTCCTGAAGCCCAATCCATGTCTGTTTTTTGATCTATTTGTATTGGTGCCATTATACCTTGTCCTTGTTCTCCTAATCCTTTTTCTTTCTTAAAACTTTGTCTAGCCATAATAGTGGGCACACTTGAATTGATGTTATTTGTTAATGTTAGACCTAATTGATCTAGAACATCTCGTCCCCAAAAATTTATAGGAAGATGATCCAGTATATATGGCTGTATAGTTCCTTTACTTCCTTCAGGATCCTTCCAATCTAATACCATAGCACTTCTATGGGGATTAGTTGCCACTCCTAGGCCTCGAATCGTTTGAGCACATGTCCTCACACTGAGAGAAAAAAAAATTCTTATTCAGATAAGCCGCTATCTATGTACAAACCTGTTCAAAAGTTAAAGCACATGATTACCCTATATTTTACGTGTTAGTGCTTTGGCTCAAAAAAAAAAATTCTACACATGTTGATTTAAGTTGACTGGAATATGTAAATGTTGCAATATAAAGATAATTTTAGGGATAAGAAAAACCAAGGTAATGGTAATGATGTTTTTGTGATCCTTGAGTTTCGGTTTCAGATATGGAGGTACCATGGCCATTCTTTTTCTTCCAGGGGTCATGCCTGTACCTTTCCTCTTGTATTCATTCCATATCATTTCACACAGGATAACTTAGTTCTGAGGAGTCATTTTATTTTTTTCTATGGTAAGTGTATATTGTAATTTGGGTATCACTGGGGAGCTTTTGCATTTTTCAATTTTCAGTCTCACATTAAGATGTGTTGTGGGGAGCCACACTGAATGACCAGTCCTGAAGCAGGAAGCTCTGACCAGTCACTACATTTGTGGTGACTCGTGGGCCATTACCCCCATATCACAGGCCTAATTTTGGTATGAAACAATTAAAAACAATTCAAACAATTTAAAAACGGAATTCAGGTACTGTCGGGAGTGATTGATTCAAATTTTTGAGATGAGATTAAAATTTCTGTGCAATCAGAACATGCCATCCGGCTCTCTACAAGAGACTATCATGTCATTCGAGGGATTTAATTAAGGGTTTACTCCTAGGGAAATTGAGGGAGATTTATAGGAAGAGTACCTGCCTGTAACCCAATCTCTCCAACAGAGATTAACTAATGCACCCAGGCCAAAT